ATACAATAAGTCAGACCTTATAGTACAGTCATATCATACAATAAGTCAGACCTTATAGTACAGTCATATCATACAATAAGTCAGACCTTATAGTACAGTCTTATCATATAATAAGTCAGACCTTATAGTACAGTCATATCATACAATAAGTCAGACCTTATAGTATCAGACCTTATATACATACAATAAGTCAGACCTTATAGTACAGTCATATCATACAATAAGTCAGACCAGTACTTCATAGTACAGACCTTATAGTACAGTCATATCATACAATAAGTCAGACCTTATAGTACAGTCATATCATACAATAAGTCAGACCTTATAGTACAGTCATATCATACAATAAGTCAGACCTTATAGTACAGTCTTATCATATAATAAGTCAGACCTTATAGTACAGTCATATCATACAATAAATTAGACCTTATAGTACAGTCATATCATACAATAAGTCAGACCATATAGTACAGTCTAATCATACAATAAGTCAGACCTTATAGTACAGTCATATCATACAATAAGTCAGACCTTTTAGTACAGTCATATCATACAATAAGTCAGACCTTATAGTACAGTCATATCATACAATAAGTCAGACCTTATAGTACAGTCATATCATACAATAAGTCAGACCTTATAGTACAGTCTTATCATACAATAAGTCAGACCTTATAGTACAGTCATATCATACAATAAGTCAGACCTTATAGTACAGTCATAACATACAATAAGTCAGACCTTATAGTCAGACCTTATAGTACAGTCTTATCATACAATAAGTCAGACCTTATAGTACAGTCATACCTTATAGTACAGTCATATCATACAATAAGTCAGACCTTATAGTACAGTCTAATCATATAATAAGTCAGACCTTATAGTACAGTCATATCATACAATAAGTCAGACCTTATAGTACAGTCAGATCTTATAGTACAATCTTATCATACAATAAGTCAGACCTTATAGTACAGTCATATCATACAATAAGTCAGACCTTATAGTACAGTCAGTACAGTCATATCATATATAAGTCAGACCTTATAGTACAGTCATATCATACAATAAGTCAGACCTTATAGTACAGTCATATCATACAATAAGTCAGACCTTAATAATCATACAATAAGTCAGACCTTATAGTACAGTCAGACCTTATAGTACAGTCTTATCATACAATAAGTCAGACCTTATAGTACAATCTTATCATACAATAAGTCAGACCTTATAGTACAGTCTTATCATACAATAAGTCAGACCTTATAGTACAGTCATATCATACAATAAGTCAGACCCTTAATAAGTCAGACCTTATAGTACAGTCATATCATACAATAAGTCAGACCTTATAGTACAGTCATATCATACAATAAGTCAGACCTTATAGTACAGTCATATCATACAATAAGTCAGACCTTATAGTACAGTCTTATCATATAAAGTCAGACCTTATAATACAGTCAGACCTCATGGTACAATAAGACATACAATAAGTCAGACCTTATAGTACAGTCAGACCTTATAGTACAGTCAGACCATTCAGTACAGTCAGACCTTATATCATACAATAAGTCAGACCTTATAGTACAGTCATATCATACAATAAGTCATTTCTTATAGTTGAGTCTTTTCATTCATTTTGTAAGACCTTTCATACAATAAGTCAGACCTTATAGTACAGTCAGACCTTATAGTACAATCTTATCATACAATAAGTCAAACCTTATAGTACAGTCATATCATACAATAAGTCAGACCTTTTAGTACAGTCATATCATACAATAAGTCAGACAGTCATATATACAAGTACAGTTATCATACAATAAGTCAGACCTTATAGTACTATATACAATACAGACCTTATAGTACAGTCATACCTTATAGTAGTCAGACCTTATATACAGTCTTATTATCATACAATAAGTCAGACCTTATAGTACAGTCATATCATACAATAAGTCAGACCTTATAGTACAGTCATATCATACAATAAGTCAGACCTTATAGTACAGTCTTATCATATAATAAGTCAGACCTTATAGTACAGTCATATCATACAATAAGTCAGACCTTATAGTACAGTCATATCATACAATAAGTCAGACCTTATAGTACAGTCTTATCATACAATAAGTCAGACCTTATAGTACAGTCAGACCTTATAGTACAGTCATGTCATACAATAAGTCAGACCTTTTAGTACAGTCATATCATACAATAAGTCAGACCTTATAGTACAGTCATATCATACAATAAGTCAGACCTTATAGTACAGTCATATCATACAATAAGTCAGACCTTATAGTACAGTCAGACCTTATAGTACAATCATATCATACAATAAGTCAGACCTTATAGTACAGTATCATATCATACAATAAGTCAGACCTTATAGTACAGTCTTATCATACAATAAGTACAGTCAGACCTTATATAGTAGTACATATCATAATAAGTCAGACCTTATATACAGTATCAGTCAGACCACACATACAATAAGTCAGACCTTATAGTACAGTCATAGACCATACAATAAGTCAGACCTTATAGTACAGTCATACACATAAGTCAGACCTTATAGTACAGTATAGTAGTACAGTCATATCATACAATAAGTCAGACCTTATAGTATAGTCAGACCTTATAGTACAGTCAGACCATACAGTACAGTCAGACCTTATAGTACAGTCAGACCTTATAATACAGTCAGACCTCATGGTACAATAAGACCTCATAGCAGTCAGACCTTACAGTACAGTCAGACCTTATAGTACAGTCAGACCTTATAGTATAGTCAGACCTTATAGTACAGTCAGTCAGTCAGACCTAGTATAGTCAGACCTTATAGTTATCATACAATAAGTCAGACCTTAGTACAGTCAGACCTTATAGTACAGTCAGATCATACAGTAAGTCAGACCTTATAGTACAGTCAGTATAGTACAGTCAGACCTTATAGTACAGTCAGACCTTATAGTACAGTCAGACCTTATAGTGCAGACCAGACCTTATCAGTAATAGTACAGTCAGACCATAGTACAGTCAGACCTATAGTACAGTCTTATCATACAGTCAGACCTTACAGTACAGTCAGACCTTATATAGTCAGACCTTATAGTACAGTCAGACCTTAGTCAGACCTTATAGTACAGTCAGACCTTATAGTGCAGCCAAATCTTATAGTACAGTCAGACCTTATAGTACAGTCAGACCACACAGTACAGTCAGACCTTATAGTACAGTCAGACCTTACCGTACAGTCAGACCATACAATACAGTCAGACCTTACAGTACAGTCAGACCTTATAGTACAGTCAGACCTTATAGTATAGTCAGATCTTACCGTACAGTCAGACCTTATAGTATAGTCAGACCTTATAGTACAGTCAGACCATTCAGTACAGTCAGACCTTATAGTATAGTCAGACCTTATAGTATAGTCAGACCTTACAGTGCAGTCAGACCTTATAGTAAACTCAGACCAAAACGTAAAATCAGAACTAAGAGTATAGTCAGACCTCACAGTACAGTCAGACCTTATAGTACAGTCAGACCTTATAGTATAGTCAGACCATACAGTACAGTCAGACCTTATAGTATAGTCAGACCATACAGTACAGTCAGACCTTATAGTACAGTAAGACGTTATAGTACAGTCAGACCTTATAGTACACTCAGACCTTATAGTATAGTCAGACCACACAGTACAGTCAGACCTTATAGTACAGTCAGACCTTATAGTATAGTCAGACCACACAGTACAGTCAGACCTTATAGTATAGTCAGACCATACAATACAGTCAGACCTTGTAGTACAGTCAGACCTTATAGTATAGTCAGACCTTACCGTACAGTCAGACCTTATAGTATAGTCAGACCTTATAGTATAGTCAGACCTTACAGTGCAGTCAGACCTTATAGTACAGTCAGACCTTACAGTACAGTCAGACCTTATAGTACAGTCAGACCTTACAGTACAGTCAGACCTTATAGTATAGTCAGACCACACAGTACAGTCAGACCATACTGTACAATCAGACCATACAGTACAGTCAAACCTTATAGTATAGTCAGACCTCATGGTACAATAAGACCTCATAGCAGTCAGACCTTATGATATAGTCAGACCTTACATTGTACTCAGACCTTATAACAGAGTCTGTACAGTCAGACCTTCTAGTGCAGCCAAACCTTATAGTACAGTCAGACCTTATAGTGCAGCCAAACCTTATAGTACAGTCAGACCTTATAGTACAGTCAGACCTTATAGTATAGTCAGACCTTATAGTACAGTCAGACCTTATAGTATAGTCAGACCTTATAGTACAGTCAGACCTTACAGTACAGTCAGACCTTATAGTACAGTCAGACCTTATAGTATAGTCAGACCTTATAGTACACTCAGACTTTATAGTGCAGCCAAACCTTATAGTATAGTCAGACCTTATAGTATAGTCAGACCTTATAGTGCAGCCAAACCTTATAGTATAGTCAGACCTCATGGTACAATAAGACCTCATAGCAGTCAGACCTTATAATATAGTCAGACCTTACATTGTACTCAGACCTTATAACAGAGTCTGTACAGTCAGATGCTATAGTGAAGTCAGTCCTTAGAGTACAGTCAGACGTTATAGGATAGTAAGGCTTTGTAGTACAGTCAGACTTTATAGTACAGCCAAACCTTATTGCACAGTCAGACCTTAAAATGCCGTCAGATTTCAAAGTACAGTATTAACTTAAAGTACAGTCAGACCTTACGCTTCACATTGGCCATTTGGCTGATGAACGTGACCGTGTGATCATCGAAGCGTCACACTAAAAACACCTTTGTACTATGGATAATAGAAATCCTAAAAAATATTCCGAATTAAATTTATTTTAGATTTTATTTTTTGGCATGACGTTTTTTTTACACATTGTCTTCTGTGTGCCGTCTTATTCATATTGTATTCAATACTCATTATTGTAGGACACGAAAATATCGGAGTACGACCATGGACTACCTTAAACAGGACCTAGATAAATTCCCTTCAACATTTGTCATTGATACGACAAATCTGAACAAGGACCGTGTTAGTAGTACAATTCAAAAATTAAATGATGATAGAGAAAATACCGTAAAACTGGAAGCTGAATCTATAAACATTACAAACTTTCTATCATATTTGCATTTTCTTTTGAAAGAAGATCAACAAGCCCTTGACCTTGTTGAAGAATCGCTGGTAAAGGATCCTGAAAATATCATTGCATATACAAACAAAGCCAGAATCCTGCTGGAACATGAGGAGATCTCTGAGGTAGAAAATATTCTAACGAAACTTCATGCGTTGGAAAAAAGACAGGATTACGATAGGAGGAAATGTTCTGCTGAAGCGGACCTTGCATACGCATATTCGCGGATAGGTCCTTGGTACCAACAAAAGGCTATAGAGATATACGAACGAGTTGTACACCAGTACCCATCGGAATACTCTTGGAAGTTCGGATTTGGTATGACTTTGATGAGACGAACCCACATATTTATTTCACAGGCAGACAACAAGTTTGACTCAAAACAACAGGAAACGTTAACGGTACATGCTGCCGAGTTGTTGCATGACGTTGCAACAAAATCAGACGAACCTCTGTTACGTGCTCAAGCCTATGCAATGCTTGGTAAAATTCTATTTAACATTTCAAAATGCTTGTACAAGAATATACCACACACCATAAAGTTGTTAAACTATAAAACATGTCTTGAAAATGCAGTAAAAGAATTTCCAGAAGACCCGTGGGTGCTGCAAATATGTGGCCAATATGCGCGTTACAGTGGAGAATTAGACAGGTCTGAAGAACTTCTTCGGCTTGCAATTCAAATCCACCCGACTTGTCAAGGATACCATCATCTTGCCCTGACACTGAAGAGGAAGGTAGAAAAGTGTGGACACCGCAAAGACAACCTTAAACTGGGAGCCTCTAAAACAGGGCGGGGTAGTTACGGTGATAGACAAAGGAAGACAGAAGACACAAGATATATCTACATAGGAAAGTTTCGCACGGTAGGGCGATTTCAAGGAAAGAAGAAAGAACACAATCTTCGAGCAATGATCAATTCACCGTTGAAGGTTCAAGTTGTCCCCGAAAATGAACTGCTTCTTGAGGCAATACATCTGCTGGAGAAAACCGAACAACTTGACCCTTATGCCCTGACTATACAATACGATAAGGGAATCATATATAGAATGCTGGGTCAGGTCGAAGAAGCTGTCAAGGTTTTCAAACGATTACTCAGCAAAAAGAATTTTTTCTCTACAGAGACTCAATTCACGAATGTATATGAACAGCTAGGACTTTGTCTGCTAGAAATGAGTGAATCGGACGAAGTACTCCCCAGCGTTAAAGAAAAACTCCAGAAAGATGGTTATTGTCATCTCTCACACGCTCTTCAACTTCAATCACAAATAGTAGCAAACGATCAGCAATTCAAAAAGGTATGGAACTCTTATGCAACACTTCAGGAACTTTTGAGTTGTGATAGTGATAGAATGCCAAAACAACTGGCCGTTCTGCACATGCTCATGGGGGATCACAAGGACGCAATTGACATATACAGGGAGATATTCCGTACAGAGAAAGACAGAATGGAGCCGGAAGACTGTACAAATATGCTTGATTGCTACTTGAGACAGAAGCAGATTGAAGAATGCGTTACTCTTCTAAGCTCATGGGAGTGTACAGCAGTATTTCCGAGACTTCCTCCGTCTTTAATCTTTGATGTGTATATAGATGGAGCATTCCACGCTTACACAACGGACAAAACACAGCTTGCGTACAACCGTTTCAGAAAAGCCTTCAGAGTATATGGAATGTTTGAGAACGCTGCTTACCAAGAAAAAGATGTACTGATACTGCACTCTTGTGCCGAGGAAATGGCTTGCAAACTTCCAGAAAATATTTATGGGATTCTAGAAGACTTTGTCGGGTTACATTGCACCATCAATACAAATGACTTAATACGCCAAGGGCCGGTATCGACAAGGTGTCCAATCATTCCAGATGCGTCCTGTGTCATAATCATAATCCATGACAGTGCGGAGGGAAATGATAACAGGTTTGTCAAACAGGCTCTTGAGATGAGTTCAAGGAAAGCTGGCCCAAAAGTTGTCATTGTTTCCGACGACAAGTCCAATGTTCCTGATGCTGTAAAATCCAAACCATTTATCCAAATACCCCCTCCGTTAGAAGATGTCAGGTATCTGGATGATAAGATCCCGGAAAAGTACGAAGAATGGATCAAAACATTTGTCTACCTGCTCAAGCCAAACTAACTTGCTTATCTCCGATTCCTAGCTGAACACGTGCATGAATGAAGTGGGCAGTGGACAGAATGTCTCATCAGTAGCGGTACCTGCTAGTTTTGCATCAGTGACGCTGTCATACAGAACATTTCAAACTCATAACACCAGTGAACTGTCTCCGGCTAGTACGTTCTACATCAATGAATACTCTCGCGTCAATAATTACGTTAGCGAATAGATTTACGTCATCATTCGTCACATCCATGAACAATCTCATGACATCACTCGTGACATTCGTGAAGAATCTCATGACATCACCCGTGACATTAGTGAACAATCTCATGACATCACTCGTGACATTCGCGAACAATCTCATGACATCACTCATGACATTCGTGAACAATCAACGTCATCACTCGTCACATCCTTGAACAATTGATGTCATCATTCGTCACACTAGTGAAAATCTCGCCTCATCAATCGTCACATCCATGAACAATTGGAGACATCTTTCGTCATGGCGGTGCACTATCCCATGTTGTTTTTCGTCAAATCCGTAATTTCTTGTTACATTCCTGAACACTCTCGAGTCATTTCTCGTCTCATCCATGAACAATCTCATGACATCACTCGTGACATTCGTGAACACGTGATGTCACCACTCATCACATTCGTGAACAAGTGATGTCACCACTCGTTACATTTGTAAACACATGATGTCATCCCTCGTTACATTCGTGAACACGTGATGTCACCACTCGTCACATTCGTGAACACGTGATGTTACCACTCGTCACAATCGTGAACACGTGATGTCACCACTCATCACCATCGTGAACACGTGATGTCACCACTCATCACATTCCTGAACACGTGATGTCACAACTTATCACTTTCGTGAACAAGTGATGTAACCCCTCGTTACATTCGTGAACAAGTGATGTTACCACTCGTCACAATCGTGAACACGTGATCTCACAACTTATCACATTCGTGAACAAGTGATGTCACCACTCGTCACATTCGTGAACAAGTGATCTCACAACTTATCACATTCGTGAACACGTGATGTCACCACTCGTCACATTCGTGAACACGTGATATCACCACTTGATTGGTACACATGTTTTTTGTATTTTTTTATGTTTTTTTTTTTTTTTTTTTTTTTTTTTTTTTATATATATATTTTTTTGGTTATTTTTCCTTTCTTTTTTTTTTCATCGAGATTAATGTTTTGTTTAACATTTAACTTTCATCAAGATAAAAGTAAACAGTGATCTCATTCAATGGAAATATCTAGGGTGTTATGATTTTAGTACATGTAGTAAATATATTGATTTTTTATGATGTAAATACTCAGAAAACATATCAAATCTAATGTACTCCGTTTTGAAAATCCTCGTGTTGCTTGGTAAAATATTGGTATGTTGCTGACATTTTCTGTTGATTTTAATTAATATTTATGCATTAACTATTCGGAAACTTATATTCAATAGATCTTCAACAGTTATTAGATGTATTTACTAAACATTTAAGTACTAACAAATGCAACGGTCACTTTTTGTTTCCCTATGTAAAAGTAAAAATCAAGGTAATTGCACTCCTATATAAAGGTCACTGTTGTATAAAGCCAACATTTCACTTGACTGACATTTAGAGACAGTGTTGACTGTAAAGTCGATACTGAAATATCTGACTGATTTAAAGAATGACTTCATTGTTATGTGTAGAACAGAGGTGATAATTGTTGAATACAAGGAGAATTATCCTAATTCTGTTATGTATCTCTTTGCTGTTTTGTGATAAATATATTTATTTTTTTATTTTTTTAAATATTTATTTTAATACCCGTTTCCGAAAAGGAATGGACAATTTTGTTTTGTTTTATTTGTTTTTTCTTCCTTCTTTATATCTATTTTGGTATTTTTTATTTTATTTTCATCTGTTTTTTGCCCTGACTTTGTTAGGTTGTGCTAAGAAAGATATATAATACAATGAGAAAAGAGTTGATGTTAAAAAGTATCATAAGGGACCATTGTCTAACATTTATGTTATAAAACAAACCCTTCTGATTTTTTCCTGTTATATGAAATAATGGCTTTTGTGATCGATCATGGGAACATGATATGTGTTAAAAACTAACAAAAGACGAAATTCAACATGAGTAAATTATACTTTATTTTCAAATCGGCCGTAAATCTCAAAACGAATCACATCATAATAGAAACAGAATTAAACGAAAATGCTTTGGTAAAACATACCAGTATATGAATTATTGTGTTATAGCAAAAAGAATGGTTATGAAATATATTTCACTAATTAGAACTAATTTTACAATTGATATATATATATATATATAATGTGTTCTATACCACTAAGTAAAAGAGTGATATGTATTTACGTTTTCGTTCCTAGTTATAAGCATTGGTATGATATGTATGTCCTTCATTGGAATGAAAAGAAAATATTAAGTATATGACATGAACTGAGCTGAGAAAAAAGAGGAAAATATTGAAACAAGATCTTCAATGTCTGGAAGAGTTCTTGTTTGTGGAACGGGAATTTACATCCTCACAACAGCCACACGGAGACGGGTATCAAATAGTGTTACCAAGAGTAGAAAATATCATACAGGAAGCTCAAGATGATAGAACAACTACCAAGGTTACAAGTGTTACAGCAGGATAGCAGATCTATTTTGGCCTTGTCGGTATCCCCGTGGAAAACAAAGAGGAAAACCCCGATTCTACACGGAGTCAATTTTAGTCGCATCGTACTATCAGGCAGTCGTCTTTTTACGATATCCAATTAGGCAGCATGGAAGAGCCTAGCAAAATACTTTATGTAAATACATGATGATGTTATTAAATTTCGGAATTGTCATGATTCGATAACGAATTTCTTTACTAATTGATACATCGTGTGTCAAAATGTCTAGAGTTTTATATGGTACATATTTTATAGAAATCTGGCCTTAATTTTTCAAAGGTTGTTAAAGTTAACCAGTGGTTAGTGAAGAGTTTGGAACATTGTATGTATTTTTCATTTCACAGCTGTATAGTTACTGAGACAAGTCAAATATCTCAGTCTTTTTTTTTAATTTTTTCAGTGACAAAAAATTGAGTTTTTAAAATAACTTACCATTCAGCTACCACGGCCTACTCACCAAAAGACATGTAAATGTATATAAATGTTTAAACCTCAGGTGACACTTGTTATTTGGTTGAACAAAATAATTCAGAACAAAGTTACGGAGATAATATCACGGTATACTATGATACTGAAGAGAGATAAAGACATAAGTGTTTCTTGATAACAGCTGGACTTCGAACTATACATATGATAATGTGAATATCACGCTCGGTTTTGATCATGCTTCACTACATTATTGCTTATGTTATCAAAATATACTGGGATAGTATTGAACACTTTGTCCTAACTGTGTTTCTAATAACACACCGACATTAGAACACTAACAAACCTCATTCCTCACTACACGACATCTATTAACCCTTTAAAATGGCACCAGTTGTGAACATACTGTCGAGTTTTGTATGTGGGAAATATTCTACAAAGGTTCGCATGCAATATCGTATTTTATCCTAGTTTCTAACCCACGTAAATATCTAGATAAAAATGACAGATATCGGCTATCGCTACAAAACGTAAATAACATTAATTAGTCGTCTTCGTCAACAAGCAGTGAGATATAAAAAGGTGGAAAAGTCATACTTTATACAATACATAGTAAACAAACATGATGTTTAATATTGTCATGACTTAATGACAGTAGATAACTTATCCAATATGCGTCATTTGTTCGGATATTATTTCTGCAGATTCTAGTGGTTTACTTTTTTAATTTCGATACATCGGTCGCCTCACTCTGACCGCCATTTTTATACAATAGAATACATACGTCCTTTTCATGAAGATTTGATACATATCAAGTAAATACAGGAAAAGTTTAGTCGGGTATCGTTTCATTTTTTTTCAACCAATTAAAGGTAAGATAATAGTGACAATTTAAAAAATTTTCGTCATATATCAAACAATTTCAAGTAAAATTTAGTCGATATGGTTTCATTATTTTCAACTAATCAAAGGCGAGATAATAGTGACAATTTTTATTTTTGTCATGAAATATCGATAGTAAATCTGGAGGTGCCAGTCAATATTTATGTAATGTTTCATACTTGTCAAATAAATATTAAAAAATCTGGAAACTTTCATGGATGAAGAAAAGAAGGAAAGGACAAACATTGATAAGAGAATTTGAAAAGTTGGGGGGGGGGGGGGGGGGGGCATTAAGGTGTTTGTCGGAGGTAAATTAAACGTTTGGTTTAACAAGATCATTCAGTACATTATCTGAATAGGAAAACAAATAGAGATTAAAGATAAAAGTGAAAAGAAAAAAGTATTTCTTGATCACTGTTGGGTATCGAAATAAACATAATTTTGATATCACGCTCGTTTTTAACAATGCTTAGACATGTTACTGTTGATGATAATATCATAATGAATTGTGATAATTATACTGGTACACTTTTATTTATTTGTGTATTTCATGAAATATCAATAAAATATCTATGCTAACACACCTTTGTCCTCGCATCAATTATCACCCCCTCAACATGGTACCAACTGTACACTTTTGTTTACGAAGAAACATTCCAGCAGGGTTTCGTTTCAACATCACATAAAACAACTGATTTTACCAAAGCTAAGAATTTACTCTAAAATAATAATAATAATAATAATAATAATAATAATAATAATAAACAATACATACACGTTTCAACTATAAAAAAGAGTAACTTGATTTTCGCCCTACTGTTGAAAAGGGTGAAACGGGCCTCGAAACACTGCGGCGGAAATGTTCCCGTACACAATATCTTGCCAATATTCATTATAGTACATCTCGTATCTCTCACTGACAGTTTTGTCATACAAACACATCATTTTCCATTGCCGTATTAGTGGTACACATAACCATTGATACAGGGTGATTTTTATGTGAACACTGTAATCCAAAATAAGAACATGCGCAGAAATGACCGTCTTGTTGACTTCCGGTTCTAAGTGGATAGTTTCGCATCAGGTACATATCACTCACAGACATGCGCATAGCCGCGGGTGCTGCACCCTTCGGTTGTATATCTGCCATATTTTGTAACTGGAGTGACATCATATCTATTTCACTGTTGCTGAGTTTTGGTCGCTGTAACACATTGTCAGGCCTTGGCCATACTCGACATAAATCATTGCATCGGTGTGTAGAAAAGAAATCCTCAATTCCTTTATATCCTTTGTCAGTATGCACAAACTTCTGGGAGCGAGAATGAATCGTGGGAATTGTCAGGTTGTATTTGTTTAACTGTTGTACTCCTTTAAGTCCAGTTATCACAAACTCACCATGTGACTTCAACCATGTGTAATGTGAAAACGCATGCGCAATGACGGCATTATAATGACTCGACGAACCAAATTCAAAAAGTTCAAATTTTCCGTCCAAATATGGCTCTATTGATACCAGTTCGAACTCATGAAACTTTTTCTTAGGTTTTCGCATGACAACGTTCATGCATGTGAACATTGAAACTTCATCTATCTCGGCTAAAATAGGCATAACGAAGTTAAAATGCACATCGATCTCGCGATCTTTCATTTCTATGCCGAAAGTTTTGGCCATATCTCGTGATGTCCGAGCTTTTTTGAGATCACAGTTCCAGTCCGCATAAGTACCAATTCCATTTTTAATTACCTTGACAATACATTTCTCACCAGCTTTAGGCCCACCTCCGTTCAGCAGACCAAGATAGGCTAATTTCCGTCCACCCACTTTGCTTGGATATGGCTCAAAACTGGACCAGTACTTCCCACCATCACTTTCATCTGAAGCTGTAAGAGTCTCAACACTATATTGCTGGCCCATGGCTACAGGTGTTGTCACTCAGATGTCCTGTAAACACAAAAACAAAGATAATCATCGATAGACTACCATGATATGGTTTATTTTGCTCGTCCCTTTAATTAAGATAATACACGCTTTTACTAATCAAAGAATGAAATGTACGGACATACATCAATCAGACTTGGATGTATCTTATACCTTCAATGAAAATAACAATGAGAGAGAGAGAGAGAGAGAGAGAGAGAGAGAGAGAGAGAGAGAGAGAGAGAGAGAGAGAGAGAGAGAGAGAGAGAGAGAGAGAGAGAGAGAGAGAGAGAGAGAGAGAGAGAGAGAGAGAGAGAGAGAGAGAGAGAGAGAGAGAGAGAGAGAGAGAGAGAGAGAGAGAGAGAGAGAGAGAGAGAGAGAGAGAGAGAGCACGAGAGAGCACGAGAGAGCACGAGAGAGAGAGGGGGGCGGGCAGAGGCAGACAGACAGAGACAGACAGAGACAGCGAGAGATAGACAGACAGCCAAGACAGAGAGAGAGAGAGAGAGAGACAGACAGACAGACAGACAGACAGACAGACAGACAGACAGACAGACAGACAGACAGACAGACAGTGAGGGAGACCTACAATTACATATATGAAGAAGGCAATTGTTTTACTCGCTTGCTACACTTGCTACAAATCCACGATCTACAAAACCCTTATCCTCCAGATCCTTGAAGTCACATTGCTTTCTACATGTACGAACGAGCAGTTCAATATTTAATATAAGTGATAATCGTCAGTTGATATCGATACCTTGAATACAGTCTATCTACACATATCTTACAACAAATAAATCACCTATCCGACCTTCGGATAGATATACTGTTAAGTTTAACATACGTTGTGTCGTAAATGGGATATTTTGGCTGTAAAACACGAAAGATGAATAAGATAATTTAGATTCGTGTCCCGTCCAGACGTCGGATTCACGATCTATATCGCCAAATTGCTCCGCCATAAAACAAATTCATTGTTGTCAGCCTGATCGATGAAAAAAAATCGATGCTTTATACAAGAAGGGGCTTTCAAAATTTAAAATTCTACCTGACAATACCCAGCTGTAATGTAAGCCAGGATAGGTTTTAGTCAACAGTTAAAGCTATGAGTAGAAATAATGTGCCTTGCTCACCACCGACATCAAATCAGAAGGTTGTTCAAAAGCCATTAAAGTCAACAGAGCACCTTTAATGTAAATTTAAATAAGATAGAGTAGAGCCAAAACAACGTATTAAACTGCACTTTACAGCTGTTTCGCCTTCTAGGGCGCGTCAGTGATAATAAGGGTCTAAATTTTGAAGCCTAGACTAAGGAACATCCAAAGAGATCGAAAGGGAAAAAAATCTAGACGGGAGGTGCAGCAGCCTCATAATTTTCATGTACCAGATAATTTTAGAACAGCGTCAAGTACATGTGTTTATTCTGAACCGTGCCACCATTCCAAAGAATTCAAACATGGCATGGACGTTACGACAAGACAATAAAGCTATGAGTTAAAAAAGTATTCGTTGCTCACTATCGATATCAATTCGGAAAATTAAAACAAACGAAGCGCAATTTAATAGCATCTTTAATACAAATTTAGATAATATACAGTAGAACCAAACAATGAATTCAACTGCCGAGGAAAATCTAGAGGGATCGAAAGAAATGCCAAAATCTAGAAGGGGAGGTGCAGTTGCCCAATTATTCAATAAATTTGAGATAATTTCAGAAGAACATTAAGCCCTGGTTAATATAACGTTAAATATGATCTGATCTCATATTTTGGCCCTTACATATGACAACATTTATCAACGTGTTCCCCTTTAACCAATATACCGTTACCGTAAATGTTAAGACCTATTTTGACATATAAACAAGATAATTTTACATATTACTGTAAAATATAGCTTACACGACGTTAAAGTAGGAGCGAACATTTGGCTGCCTTAATCTAACATACAGATATATATATATTGCCCCCATTGCCAAGTCACATAACACTACAGAAGATAAATAATCTCAAAGAACGATGGCAGAAAATTCCTTCTGTTTTGTCGGTAAGTAGGAATCACTTGCTTATCCAGAAAAAAACCATACTAATCGGTTTGTTGACTAGTTGTCGTTCTCAAACTGTTGCTTGCAGTGCTAGACTATTTACCATAGCGTGCATAAAAGCTTTAGACACGAGATATATCCAATTGTTCAGTGATACAGCGCCGAGATAAGTCTATTTCAACTTAGAAAATATACATCACGTTTTACCAGTAACTACCAATTACTGTGGTTAATTCTAACTTATTTTTATTTTGTTTCAAAAACTGCTCTTTCAAAGTAAACACTGTTGATATGGATCTTGGTGGTTTCAGACCTGAAGGTTTTAGCTACCAGTTTGCTATAGTGATTAGTCTTTTACTGTTCCATATTTCTAGTCAGTGAATGTAACATATCAATGTAATTACATAACGATGTGATTTTGCTAATTATGCATAATACAGTAACATTGATAACAACGAGTTATTATGGTATGTTCGTTCTCTATCGTTCGTTAAGGCAGATCTGGATTTTCTTTCCAAATTATTCTAATGCCATATGTACCATCACTGATGAGTCCAGGACGATGGAAAAGAAATATATTTGATGTAGTTGTATCATGACTTCATTACATAACCAACTGGTACATGTACTAGATATATGTTGAACAAGTGCAACAAAAATTGACACTACATCAACATTTCCTTACTATCACATACTGTCTAACGGAAATCTGGCATACGGGTACCAGAAACTGGACATACGGGTACCAGAAACTAGACATACGGGTACCAGAAACTAGACATACGTGTACTAGAAACTAGTCATACAGGTACCAGAAACTAGACAGACATACGGGTACCAGAAACTGGACATACGGGTACCAGAAACTGGACATACGGGTACCAGAAACTAGACATACGGGTACCAGAAACTAGACATACGGGTACCAGACACTAGACATACGGGAACCAGAAACTAGACATACGGGTACTGTTTAAACACGAAAGTAAATATACAGGTAATGTTAACATGAAAGCAAACATACAAGTACTGTTGACAGGAAAAATTCATACAGATAAAGTGAACATGAAAGTAGATCTAAAAGTAATGTTAACCGGAATAATCCATACAGGTAATGCTGACAGTAGACATACCAACTGATAACGTGTATATAAATTGCAATATATTTAGTTTGTGATGAAGCAACCAAATAGATGACGTTACATGAATTTAAGACAAGGCTCGGGTAACAAACTCACCATTCCTGTCACAGCTGGTTATTGGTCCCGTGCATACACAACATCAACCCAACAAGTGCCGCCTGCAGCTCCAGTTGGCGTCATATCTACAGATAAGAACGCAAATCGACCATGAAACTGTAGAACACCCTGCAGTATTTAAACGTTATTTAGAAAGAACACAAAATATCTTCCATTTTCATTGTTCTAATGATTTACTGAAGGATATTGGAGATTTTATCATCCAAATCGATGATGTCTGTATGTTGTTAGTTTCATGCGCATGCGTATGGGCAATGGTCTGTGAAATTAACAGCTCGACAAATTCGTAAATATCCTGCAATGTTGAAATCGGATCCAATTATCCCCTGACTACATTTCCTTTCCCCGGAGAGTTCCAATGGAAATGATCGGCATGCCACTCGCTGTTGCTATCAGTGATCCCATTGGAAAAGTCATCCGGGTTGTCCCGGAGCATCGACAGTCAAGTTTTTAGAGAACAGCTATTAAAAGACCACCATACCAATGACGAAGGTCAAAGAAAACGTCCTTCAAGGTCAAATAACAATCAAATTATCGTTAATGAGAAAGAAAGATTAAGTTTCTGTTCAACAGGAAAATAAAGCACGTCACTAATTGTCGTTTGTTTTCAGGAATCTGAATAGCTAGCTGGCCTGAAGCCGAGCCCATAGCATGAGCTGGATACTACCAGTGATATCGGGAAAATTGATATACGGGGGCGGATTGATGCTATGAGAGGTCTGATTATACATTGAACGATAAACGTGTAAAAAATAGATATCTTATCAGATGTTCATTTAAATTATGTTGTGGATTTATATGCTTTATTTTCATAGTCTGGTAATTCAAAGATTCATAGTTAATCAATTGAGGTTGAGGTCAAATATAACAGTACAAGAAATAAGCAATATTAGAAAAAGATATTAGCGTCAAAATACTACAATAAGAATTACTCCATGTAAAAAGAGCTTTATATTGTTGAAAATCACGTTCTGTTAAAAAGGTGATCTCAACCTACACGTAAATGATGTTACCTATATAGGTAAGACAAATGTACGTATCGTAAGCCATTTACATAAAAATTATGTTTAACCAGGAAGAGTCCTTGAGATAAATGTTATACTGTGCGTTCTTTCCGTGGCTGAAATTTAATCCCATTTTGGAAGTTAGAATCGCCTATAAACGGATGATATAGGAATAAACCAATTTCCTAACCTTCTGGGGACACTAATGGAAAGGCTTCTTTTATGAAACACGGAGTGATTTATTCAATTCATACTTTGAGAATACTGTATCTTATTCTAAATTTGTGTAACAAGGTTATATATCAAGTTGTGTATGTTTTTGTACAGTCACCTACAGCTTTATAACAACATAACCTGCTCTATACATAATAAAACCCAAATAATTCTGATACTATTTAGATAGGAAATACCGATTTGAATATGAAAATCAATTACTGCATGCCGGGAAATTTTCGGCCTCGTTTAATTTTCAACCATGAACAAAGAGGGCGAATTTAAGAATGGGCGAAATTTTTCCACATTTATATAACCCTTTCATATAATCCTCAGAGGGCGAAATGAATTCATGTGTAATGGCGAAAATATACTGCGGCGGTAGTATCCCAGTAAACAGTATTCATTCAATGACAGATAACACACTTATAAGTCTAGTTTTTCATAAGCAATATGTTTATCACAAAACACAAACAG